GAAAATGAAAATATGCCATACCAAATCATATAGGATGCAGCAAAAGCAGTCCTGAGAGGGAAACTCATAGCGATACAAGCCCACATTAACAAACAAGAAAAAGCCCTAATAAGCAACCTTAAATTACACCTAACAGAACTAGAAAAAGAAGAACAAACAAAGCCCAAAGTCAGCAGAAGGAGAGAAATGATAAAAATCAGAGCAGAAATAAATGACATTTAGACCAAAAAAACAGCAGAAAGGATTAATGAAACAAAGAGTTGGCTCTTTTGAGAAGATAAACAAAATTGACAAACCCTTAGCCAGACTTACTAAGAACAAAAGAGAAAAGGCTCAAATAAATAAAATTAGAATTATGTGGCTTTTACATTTCTCAGAGTTTCTTATCAGCGAATTTTGCACAGTGACATTTTACAATGTAAAGGAAAATATAAAAAAGAAGCAGCGACAACAGGTACACATCAGGAAAGTCCACACTCCATCATCTAATCAAAGTTGGGCTACAGGAAAATCCAACGCTAAGTAATTGAAGCCCCGTCCCTCTTGTATGTCCTCCCACAGTAGAGGGAGCTTTTCTCTCTGTTGATTATCGCCAGCATGAAACCACTAAAGACCAACATTGGTCCTTACATCTCCTTGCTCTTTTCAGGTCCATCAGAAGTTTGGAAGTGCTACGGATACTGTCAGCACCATACACTTATTCTATTTAGAGTTAGAGTGAGAAAAGATCAAACATTTTTCTTTTTTTCACATCACATTCCAGAATAAATGATTCTTGCATCAGAACTTGCAGGCAATTTTACAGATAATGAATGAAACAGAACAAAAATGTGGTTTAGTCTTCCACAGCCATAATCTCTCGGGAGTGCTGACAGAACAAAACCCAGCCAATATATTAGGCAAATTTGATCAAAGGGATGCAGAGTTCAGACGTGTGCAGCAAAAGGTAATTCTGTGATTGTCTTCGGATCCCAACCAAAGCATACAAACAAGATGGAAAGTCTCAAGTAGCTTTGGTAAAGTCTACCAAATAAAGGTATTCAATTCACTGTGCTGGTACTTTTAACTAAATCTCAGTATGAGAGAGGAAGTTGACCACAAACACAATTCTAAGAACTGATGGCACTGTCCACGCATTGAGAGCTGATTTACTAAAATAGCACTATAGATAAACTGCACTATTGTCCCTTGGCTACTCTTAGGAAGACGACGATGATTAAAATGAGATTGTGAGGTGTAGTCCAAAGAGTATGGGCCAGATCTTGCCCTGGTTCTGGAACTTGCAAGTATGGGATCTTGGGCAAATCTTACTCCGAAGCCTCAGTTTCCCAATCTACAAAGTGGGGAGGATGATACCTCTGCCGTAAGGCAGTTGTGGACACTCATACCAGTGTTAGTGTTACGCAGTTTTCATTGCCTCCTTTCCCCACAATAAGTGGACATAGCAGCCAGAGAACAGAAATGAACACAGGATGTGTATCGATCTCTGAACAGATCTGGCTACCTCGAATACAGGATGAAATATTGGGAAGTAACACAAAATAAACAGCATGAGACCAAATTTTAAAGGGTCTTGGAAGTCAGGCATAGAAGTGTAGATCTGATTTAGCAGCAGGAGAGAGTGACTGCATATTAATAATATGATGAAAGTAGGGCTTAAGAAAGATGAAAACAGTCCTTTCTTGACATGCATAATTGCCATTCCCTGATTCTTTTTATTTCAGAATATATCCCTCTTTCTCTCTCTCCCATTTACCCTACCCTCCTCTTCCCCACCTCCTTATCCACTGCAATAGTAAAGACTGAGTATTGCTATTTAAATACTGCAAAATCTTCAAAGTTATGAGGAGTTTTGGTTAATCTTTGAATGGTGATCTACTACAATCAAAGAGTCTCTCGATTTTTCTAGAGTCCTAGCCAGAAATAAGAGAGTTCGTGTTGAGAGAGAGCCCTCTGTAGTATCCATGGGTGTAGGGGATAAGTGTTGCCACAGAAAGTTAAAGGTTTTTTGTGGTGACCGGCTTCCAAACTGGTGATCAAAATAATGGGGCCCATCCCTTAGACACTTAAACCCAGACACCTGTCTTACAGTAAGACCATTAGTAACAAATGAGGAAATCACAAACCCCACCGACATGATCAGAAAATCCAGGTAAAGTGTCTACTACAGAGATGATGGGATAAATGGCATTTCTGTTGTTTAAAAAGACAAGCCACCAAAGTTGTCCTAAGTTAGGTAAGAACTTTCATGCTACCCCAGTAACTCTCTATGGTGCTGTAAATGTTCCAGAAATTCTGGATAACTGAAAGTTTCTCAAGATTTATATCAGATCTTGGGACTAGAACTTGGATTTATAACAGAGAGTAAGGCAATACAGAAGGGATAGAGACTTTCTGCACCATTCCACAGATAAACAATTCAAGGCTGTTTTCAGAATTATCTTCCCTTCCCTGTCCAAGCTACAGATATGGCTGTTTTGTGGCTTGGCATTAATAATTCCTATCACTAAACCTGGAATGCTTGTGTCTCATGTTTCACAGCGGAATCATACTAGTTAAAAGGAAAAATAGAAACACCTGAAACAGATATAATAAGCCAGTACACTGGAATTCTATAACTGACTTAAAGCGGAAGGGGAAGCTTTGGTTTGGTCTTTATATTTTAAGTGAAGAATAAATACAACTGGTCTCTTTACCAGACACCTAAAGAAAAGAGTTGAATTCACCAGCCTACTAAAAGCTGATTTGCTTTTTACTATTGCCATCTACTGTCACCTGGTAAATAGATTTTCTACAGACTACAACAGTGTAATTCTAGTATGGATCCAGCAGGTGGCAACACGAGATCAACAAATCAACTCTCCAGCAAAACAAAAAGAAAAACAAATCACAGTCTGTTTATTAAAAAAAAAAAAAACATAATTGGATCCAAAAGTCCTCAATTTTTATACTAAAATCAATCTGCTCCTGCAATAGTCACTATTAAATTGTGCAAATCTGCGGGAAGGACACTACGGCAGCAAAACAATCTGCTGGTTTGTGGCCACCATGATGCTCAACAGTTATCACACACCTATTAGGTTCTTGGACAAGGAGGACCACTGAAAAGTCTTCCACTTCAGAAAGTACCCGACAACACTACAAGGTTATTTCAGCAGAATCTAGATGAACGACACCAATTTTACATACCATTTGTAATCCCCTATAACACTGATCGTGTTGTATGCATCAGCAGCCCAAGTAATGGGTCGTTGATTGAGGACTTGGCGTAGTGTGAAGCGATGCTCTCCAGGGTCTTCCACATTCATAAAATATTCAAAAACGCCAGTCTGATCAGCAAAATTCGGAGCTTCACTAAAAAATGGGTAATCTGCTCAGAGCACAACAAATTCTCTGTTTAGTATCAAATCCTTACAGAATCTCTCCTCTCTCTTATTTTATGGTACATTTTGAAACTTCTGAAAATTTTAAATAAGTAAATGATACTTATAACCGGTCAAAGTTTAGGGTTTAGGTTAATAAAGAGATACTGATTTTTGTATCATCATTAAACATCAATATGATCAGTTTGACATACAGACTTTACGTATTTAATACATGCAATTGCTTAAGAGGAAAGATCATGAGTTTTGGAGTCAGGCAGACCTCGGTTCAAATTCTAGCTCAGTCTGTGTCAAGTTTCCTCATTTCTAAGTGGGCAAGAAGACAAGGGAATTAAATGAAAGAATGTATAGAAAATGTATACATAAGGCAGCACTTAGCAAGGACTCAATAAGAGAGTTTTATTATTTCTAATATCTGTCAAACAAGGTTCTAAATCTCTGGTCAGAGTCATCAGCTGAGAGAACACTAGAAAAGGCTTACCATAACAAGAACAGAATTTACAAATTACAAATTTTCTTCTATTTCTAAAATGGAGCAAAAACCAGTTTGCTCCAGATGGCCTAAGCCATCTATCAATCTCTTCCTAGTTTTATTAAATTAAATTATAGTCTTACATGATGAAGGCTATAGAAGAGCAACTTTAGTCATAAGATCCTATAGCTATTTCACACTTCATGCTTTTCCACGTGATTTCACATTTGTCACATCATTTGAGATATTAAGAACCCTAGAAAGTAGTTCTAAAGACTGGCTTATAGTTTTTAACTTTAGTTTTTAGTTTATTTTGTAGCCAATAAAGCATTACATTTTAGATTTGATGGTTTAGAATTGCCTTTCAGCCTTCAGGTCACAAAACAAATAGTTTTGGTGTTGGCAGAAGTTCTTCAATTTCCTTAACTAGGCCATCTTCCACAGACTCCTCACCTACTGAAGGCAAGAATTATTTTTCCAAACAGAGAACTGAGCCAAACATTGTCAGGACACTTGTGGGTGACAAAATTAATAGATTCACCTAAGAGACCATTTTAAAGAGTTGTAAGAAAACAAAGCAGCAAACTCCCCTGAGGGTCACTGTTGTCTGTGTTATCCCAATAATTGAGAGGACTCCAGCACACAGTCCCAAGGGCCTTGCACTCCAATCAACCAGGAGATCATTTCCTGGGAAAGAAAGGAAGCTGAGACCCCAAGGCAGTGACCTGGAGTGGGTGGAGGAGTCTCCATCTGTGGTGGAAGAGAGCGCTCCAGCAACAGGAAGTTCAAGTCGCTCTCTAGCAAAGCTAGTTTCCCTCCCTACTTCTCTCCTACAGCTACAGATTTTAGAAGCAGAGACTAGAGCCACCTGACCCTGTCTGGGAGGTCCATAATGCTATACACCTATTAGTCAACAAGTTTTGTCGCTTACTAAGTGATCTAGGAATATAACCACAATGACCATACCCTCTGACTTTTCAGTTTCCATAAATTACCTATAATCAAAAGCTTTTCTAACAGCTTTAGGACAGATCTTCCTAGAACACCAGGAGAGCTCAAATATAAAACTCCCAGGCACAGCTGGAAGGTAATGAGTTGAATGACCCAAGGATAGCATAACTGTCCTTAGCACACAGTGCGCCAGCACTGGGGAAAGATATTAATGTGCCTTAACGCCCAACAAAAGGAAGGTGTCAATAATGGCTTTCACGAGATATGGCTAACGGGGTAGCAGCAGTGTTACAAATCTTGTTTCACTAAAAATAAGTGAGAATTATAACTTTCATTCTGACAGTTTTTTCTGGCACTGAAAAATCCCCAAGTTGAGATTTACCTTGAAATAATGCAAAAATTAGGTCTCGTTTACCCCATAGCAATTTAGAGCTAGATGAATGTACTTTTCACAGCCTCTCCACCATGCACCGGTTTGACAGGTAGAAATCTATCCACTACTGCTAAAAATGGAAACCAAGTTACGTTTTAATGAAAAAAACTTACCAACATTGAAATCATCCTTATAGATGCGTGGGAAGGGCTGGGATTCTGGAGGCAGTGGGTAGCTGCCTTTGCTCCCGGTGGTGAGGGTGGTGAGCGTGAACAGCTCATCCTCCTGCAGCTCCAGCGTGAAACCGCCGCCGCCGTCGAGGAGCTGGGAAAGAAGGCACCACCGTGTTCAAGACCAGGGGCTTTGGCTCGTCCCATTTGGGCAAAATAGCATATAAAAAATAAGCTTAAAGAAAAGCCAAACTCATTCCCGTCAGAACTTCCTAACCACTTGTGAAGGACACACCCAATATAAAGGCCCTCGGAATCTTTTTTAAGTTATTTAGAAGCCTTTACAAAATTTTACTTTTTACTTTTTACTTTAAAATCCTTTACAGAAAGGATTTTAAAAGAATTTCATTACTTGGAGGAAGGAGGTCCCAAAGGAGGACCCCCTAGATGGTCCCAAAACGTATTTCTATTAGTCTCTTCTTTTCCACTGGACTGTAAACTCTGTAAATCTTGTGTATACTCAATACATGTAACTAAAACATCTGCTTATTTATCTTTTAGGACTTTACTAAGGTAGAAAAATCCATAAAATCTCACTATTGACTCAGCTGTTAAACACAGAACACCTTTTACTATTAAGAAAAAAAAGTCCTATTCATTATATGTTCAATATATAGTTCAATTAGCAAGTAGGGTTTATGTCACATTTATGATCTTGGCAACTTGGTCTCTTTAAGCCACAATCTCCTTAACAAAAGGAGGGAAAAAATACACACCTCCTAGGGCTGTTGTGAGGATTAAATGAGATAATGTTTATAAAGTGCTCCGTTCAGTGAGTGACCTGTGAGAACCACTCCCCAAGTCATAGCTGTTCTGTGCTAAATGTAGACCTCTGAAGACACTGGGATCTTCTGCATAGTTTATGTAGGCATTAAATGTATGCCCATTTTATGAAATTTGAGCAGCTTTCTTTTTCTACTGTAAATTAAAGGTGTTTATATCCCATCTTTGCTTTAATAATAAATTGTTGGTCGGATCTATGAAATATCTAACACCATATTCTGGCTCAGAAATAACCCCAAGTGATACTATTTTTCCTATGGGGAAAAATTTATTTTATTATGCTACTTCTGGCAATTTGTTGTGCAAAAAGTACAGACTGTTCTTTTTTTAGAATTTAATATATTACAGGTATTCAATCATTGATAGTGACTGGTTGATTCACAGAACATTAATAATTATCAGAAAAAGCAGCAGATTTGTGTCAATTAGGTGAAGTAATGCACTTGCTTGGGCCAGTCCATTCTTTGAAACATTTCCTGAGAAACCACCATGTGCTAAGCACTAGAGCAGGCACCTGAGATAAAAAGCTAAGGCAGGGCCCCACTCAAGGTGCCAGTGTAGCAGGAAAAGTGTTTCGCTAGGTACAAACATATTCCTGGGTGGCTATGAGCTAAGACTGGTGGGGAAAGCTTCAGAGGAAGTGACAGGTGAGCTGAGTCTTGAAGGATGACAAAGATATGAGGAGAAGGCATTCGAAGAGGAAGAAAAGGCATGTGCAAAGTCACAGAAGCAAGTAAACTGGCATGCCATGCTCCGAAAAACACAAGAAGTTTAGTCAGTGAGGAGAGGCCAGTTTAGAAGGACACGCATCAAGAAAGGAAAACAGCCTTTTACCTCGTGAGGGGATAACGCAGGTCAGGTGCTACGCTAAGGGATGTGAACTTACAGGAAAAATCAGAGAGGTACTTCGAGCAAGGGCTTGACAAGAATCAGATCTGCATTTTAGACACATCGTTCTGGCAGAGAGTGGTAGGTGGGGTGGAGAGAGGCAGATAGGAGGCAGGAAAAACAGGAGGTAGTTTCTGAAATCCAGGAGAGAGAGAATGAGGGACTGAAACAAGCAGTAGCAGTGGGAACAGAGAATAAAGAATGGGTAAGAGAAATATGTGGATGACAGAATCATCTATACTTGATCACTGGTGGTATATAAAGAGTGAGTGGAAAAGACAGAGACACAAATGAGACTCAAATTTCTTACTTGGGCAGCAAACTGATGGTGGTACCATTCACCAAGACAAACTAAATACTAAGAGCAAACACACCTATAAACACACAAGCTTCTATACTGCCTTGAAGAGGATTTCTATTGAAAAAAAACAACAGTTGGGGACAACTTTAGCTCTATCATGCTTCCACCATAAAATCAATTATAAAATTAAAAAGTCATAATTCATTAATCAAATTTCTGTTCCCCTTTACTGTTGCAATGCTCAAAATAGAGGAATTTATTTTAAAACTACCCATAGGGAATCCAGTTGCTTAAAAAGAAATCTCTCAGATGGTGGTCCGAGTTTTGTATACCACACCTGTAGCTCCGGTATTTCACTCTGAGGAAAAAACACAGAAAAATCATAGTTGAGTGTTTCATCATACGCTCTTTGAGGATTTCCAAAACCAGTACAAGCAAGAATGAACCAATAACAATGTGCACTTTATTTCTATTTACCAAAAGACCTACCTCAAATTTTAAATAGTAACGTTTTGAAAATAGGAAGACATTATTCAAGCAAATACTTTATTCCTATAAATACTACAGACTTTTGGCAAATGTTTAAAAAGATTTTAGTGCCTTTGCTTCAAAAATACTCATGATTGTACCTGTGTAAAAAACTTTCTAAGAATTTTCTGGTATTAAAAAACAATTCTTATGTGATTAGCAGTCAGAGAGGGCACTGTATTTTCTGTATTCAAATCTAATAATAAGTAGAAATAGCAAGAATCTGGTGTCTTTTGTTGTTGTCGTTCAGAGTACTGTAAAGATCAATGCTTGAAAGTTCCCTAGACCACATAACTGATGCTCCTACCAACAAGAATAACTTTCTTGCAAGTGACTTTTGTTAAGTGTTCTTCAAAGCCACAGAGAGTTTTACCTCCTCGTGGCTTCTGTACTGTTTGGCTAAACCAGTTAGCAGATGGAAGACACCAGGGCATTTGTCTATTCATATACAAACTCTTAATAGCTTGTAATATAGGACTTCACTTAAGAACTGCTAGCCTGTGACAAAATATATAAATTCTCAAATCAAAACCAAATAAAAGTCCTACACATTTACTTACAAAAGAACCCTTAAGAATGAAGGAAGCAAACTGGTGTGACACATTGAAATAAGGAAGAAATGGCCGTATACACTTAGAATGTTTATGACTCTGAGGAGAAAAAAAAATTACATAAGTTATCCAAATGATGTACAAGCCATCCTAGGAGAAAAATGTTAAACATTTAATGCCCCGAGATTAACAGAAATGGCACACGGTAGGTGATAAATATGAGTTCATTTCAAATTTTAAAGACTTTTTTCTAATATAATCTTTATTGAATGTCTCTTGTGTATGCCTAGTCAAAGTAAAGCTCAATGGCATTTTGACTGAATCAAACTTTAAATTCATAGCTAAATTCCAGAGTCATTTTATGGCAGACATAGATTAATTTTTATGTTATAACTGTTTTTCAAGTAAAATGCATCGAATAAAAAGCAAACACTTAGGATATTTTCACTGAAAAGGCATCTCATCTAAATATAACCTTCATATACACAACCAAATTCAGGTGGATACACAGAACAAATAGTTCTCACATTGCCAACATCATTTTTTACTAAATAGTCACTACAATGGGCTGGGATCAAAAGAGGCATGAGGCATAATCCCGACTTCAGGGGGGTTCAACAATCACAGAGCACTTACAACATACAGTTCTGGGCTAGGCTTTGTGGACAATAAAAAATTACAATTATAATAGGTGGTTTCTTTGAAAAGATGAACAAAATTGACAAACCTTTAGGTTTACTAACCAAAGGGAAAAAAAAGGGAAGACTCAAATCACTAAAATCAGGAATGAAAGGAGAACATTTCTACCAATCTTATAGAAATAAAAACAGAATATAAGGGAATACTATGAACAATTGTATGCAAACAAATTAAGTAACACAGATAAAATAGACAAATTCCCAGAAAAAAACAAACTACCACAGCTGACCCAAAAAGTAACACAAAATCTGAATAGACGTATAACAAGAGATTGAATCAGTAAACCCAAACTTTCTTGAAGGAAAATACCAGAACTAGATGGCTTCACTGATGAGTTCTACCAAACAGTTAAAGAATAAATACCAATCTTTCACAAATGCTTCTAAAAAACAGAAGAGGAAGGAACATTTCCCAACTCATTCAGTGGGGTCAGTATTACCTTGATACCAAAACCAGACAGAGACATTACAAGAAAAGAAAACTATGGACCAATATCTCTTATGAATTTGGACACAAAAATCCTCAACAAAATACCAGTAAATCAAATCTAGCAACAAATAAAAAGGATTATACAGGATGACAATGGGATTTATCCTAGAAATGCAAGGCTAGTTTAGCATACAAAAATCAGTCAATGTAATACATCATATTGGTAAAAGAAGGACAAAAACTACATGATCATCTCAACAGACACAGAAAGCACTTGGCAAAATCCAATAGCCTTTCATGACAAAAGCACTCGACAAACTAGGAATAAAAGGGAAGTTCCTCAACCTTACAAAAAATATTTACAAAAAAAATTAGAGCTAACATTACCCTTAATGTAGAAAGGCTGAAAGTGTTTCCCCTAAGATTAGGAACAGGACAAGGATGCACATTCTCATTATTTCTATTCAACATTATACTAGCAGACAATTTGGCAAGGAAAAGAAATAAAATGTATCTAGGTTGGAAAGGAAGAAGTAAAACTATCTCTACTTGCAGATGACATAATCTCATATACAGAAAATCTGCTAAAAAACTAATAAATGAGTACAGAATGCTGTGGGATATAAGATCAATATATAAAAATCAATTGTATTTCTATACACTAGCAATGAAAAATCTGAAAGTGATATTAAGAAAATAATTCATTTATAGTTATATCAAAATAATAAAATACTTAGGAATAATAACTTTAACAAAAGAAATGCAAGACTTGTACACTGAAAACTACAAACATCATTGAAAGAAATTAAATAATACATAAACGAGTGAAAATACATCCCATATTCATGGACTGAAAGATGTGATATTGTTATAATGGCAAAATGATCTAGAGATTAAACATAATCCCTATCAAAATCCAAGCTAGCCTCATTGCAGAAACTGACAAGCTGATCCTAAAATTTCTATGGAAAAGCAAGGGACCCAGAACAGACAAACAATGTTGAAAAATAACAAAGTTGGAGGACTTGTACTTCGAAGCATACTTTACAGCTACAGTAATTAAGACAGTGTGAGGCTTACATAAATAAGGATAGATATATAGCCCAATGCAATAAAATTGAGAGTCCAGAAGAAAACTCTCACACTTATTGCCAACTGATTTGCAACAAAGAAGCCAAACAATTCAATGGGGAATGAACAGTCAACAAATTGGTACTGGGACAATTAGATACCCATAGGCAAAAAGAATGAAGTTGGACACATATCTAACCTCATACTTAAAAAAATAAAATGGATCAAAGACCTAAATGTAAGAGCTAAAACTATAACTATAAAACTCTTAGAAGAAAGCATAGGTGTAAATCTTCAAGACCTTGGATAAGGCAATAATTTCTTACATATGACACCAAAAGCACAAGAAATAGATATATCAGACTTCATCAAAATTCAAAACTTTCTTACTTCAAACAGCACCACTAAGAAAGTGAAAGACAACCCAAAGAATGGGAGAAAATGTCTGCAAATCATATATCTGATAAGGGACTTTTATCTAGAATATATAATAATACTTACAATTCAATAATAAAAAGACAATCCCAATTTAAAAATGGGCAAAGTGTTTAAATGGACATTTCTCCAAAGAAGATATACAGACGGCCAATATACACATGAAAAGATGCCCGCATCCTTAGTCACTAGGAAAATACAAATCAAAACTAAAATAAGATACCACTTCACACCCACTAGGATGGCTATAATAAAAGAGACAGACAATAACCACTACTGGGGAAGATGTGGAGAAATTGGAAGTCTCACATACTGCTGGTAGCAACGTAAAATGGTGTAAACTGAAAATCAATGTGTCAGTTCCTCGAAATGTTAAATATAGTTACCATTTGACTCAGTCATTCTACTCCTAGATACATACCCAAGAGAAATGAAAACACACGTCCACAGAAAAACTTATACACAAATGTTAATCTCACCATTATTCATAGTGGCCACAAACTGGAAACAACCCAAACATACATCAACTGAAAAATGAATAAACAAAATGTGGTATAGCCATACAATGGAATATTATACAAACATAAAAATAATAAGTACTGATATAGAACCGTGAAAACATTAAGCTAAGTGAAGGAAGCCAGAAACAAAAGGCCACATATTGTATGATTCCATTTATATGAAATGTCAAGAATAGACAAATCCAGAGATAAAAAGTAGAGTAGTGGTTGCCAGGGGATGGAGGAGAAGGGAATGGGGAGTGACTACTAATGGGTATGGGGTTACTTTTTGGGGTGATGAAAATGTTCTGGAATTAGATAATAGTAATGGTTGCACAACTCAAATAAAAATAGTAACCAAATAAAAAATAGTCAAAAGATTTGAACAGACATTTCACCAAAGAAGATATATAAGTGAAAAATAAGCACATGAAAACCTCAACATCATCAGTCATTAGGGAAATGCAAACTACAACCAAAATGAAATACCACATCATACATACTAACACCTAAAACTAAAAAAACTGATTACACCAAGCATTGGCAGTGATAAAGTAAAACTGGAACTCTCATTATGCTGCTGATGTGAATTTAAAATGGTACAATCACATTGGAGAACAGTTTGGCAGTTTCCTAAAAAGCTAAAGTATTTACAAAGGGACATGAGTACTCTTTTCGGGGGGATGATGGATATGTTCACTATCTTGATAGTGATGATAGTTTACTGGGCATATACGTGTCAAAACTTATGGAATTGTGCACTTTAAGTACGTGTTCAAAGAGGATCAGAATATGCCACCCCAAAATACGCCACTTGAGTATAAAGGTTATTTTAAGTTGAAGATATTTGAGCCTCAAGAGATGCAGAAAAAAGTCTTCTCTGAGCTTCCCTTAACTGCCTAATAGCAGGAACTTCTGAGAAATAAGGTGACGATAAATTCCTCTTCAGGGTATCTACTCCCAGAAAGGAGGAATGAGAATAAAACCTACCCCAAATCTCCAGGGGAGTTTTATGGCCCTGAAGGAGAGGAAAGACCACTCATACCAGTATAGACAATTCTCACCACTTTCTCATTTCCTATTTGTTCTCCTGAAAACCCATTTAGCTTTCCAAAAACTCATTTATTTTCCCATAAGTGCCCTTTCTCCCCCTCCTCATTACCTACTAAACCCAAATTCTAACCACCCCTTTGAGTTACTCATCACTGAGTTTCTCCCACATGTATCTGCATTGCATGCACAAATAAACTCTGTTTTTATTTCTCCTGTTAATCTGTCTTTTTAATTTGTGAGGCCCCAGCACTGAACCTAGGAGGGTATAGGAAGAAGTTTCTTCCTCCCCTACATGTTGTTTATTATATGTCAATTATACTTAGTAAAGCAGGTTTAAAAAAAAAAGGTGTTCAGTTGGGTTTCATGCTGTTTTTCCAAAACTAACAAAGTGAGTTAATCCAATAAAAACAACAAAGAATTACCATAGTTTCAATGATGATGGTGAGGTTACCTAAGCCATCGGTCAGAGCTACATAGCTTCCTCCTTTCTCTAAATGGCCAACTGTCTTCAGGTAATACCAACCTGGTTGAGTAAACTGAGTGGTATGAGCTACAGAAAAGCAGAGACAGACCCAAATAAGATTAAAATGGTGATAATAGGGTTTCTTAAAAAAAGAAAACCATCTACCGATCTGAGTCTAATAAGCTATTTTCTATTTTGGAGGAAAAAATTTGTCAACCTCATGTTTCAACTTTTGAATAATTAATACAGTTAAATGGTACAATTGTGGGAACATTCTTAGAATGATTGGTAAAAATAAATGAATGACACCGTCAGTTCAAGAATATTAATATTCAAGAATATTAAAGTCTTTTTTTTTCCAAGAATAAAATAAAGTTATCCCCTAAACCTTTGTCCATCTCTATTTAACCCATCCTAATATAACTACAAAAAAAAATAAGGCAAAATAGTTAATAATACATTTCAAAAACTAAACTTTATGGTTGCAAACAAGTTTCTTTCCACAATCTATATTTATTGGGCACCTCCAAAGCTGGCCCTAAAAATGAGCAATATTTCATGTCCCATTCCACCCCGAAAAAAAACAATGACAAAATTAGAAAAGTATATTAGTTCATGTAGATAATGTGGGACGAACAATTTCAACATTTAAGGCGTTAACCAACCAGGACATACAAGTCCATCTCAACGTTTCCATATTTTTGGAAGAACAATTTAAGGAGTTTAGAATAATGTCATGATTACATGATTAATGTCATGACTACAAATCTCTCTGAGGAAAACACATCAACTAAAAAAGAAAATCACCAAAGTAAAGGTTTAAAATTAAAACAAATTCACTTCAGATTCATAATTCTCCTATAAAGTCATCCTACCTTTAGAGAAATTGATTTTTTTTAAATGATGGTAGTTATGATGTTAAAATGAAATGGTCATAAATGTTTAATTTTTTACAAAAAAACTGTAGAAATAACTTGAATATTATTCAACAATAGGATTTTTATTTTGTTTAAATTACATTCATTATTAGCATGGTTACACCCCTTCATGAAAAAGTGACACCATGCCATCCACTGTCTGCGTGATCTCAACTTCCATCGTGACTAACGATACTGTAAAAAACATTTCGTGGTTCAATGGAATAGGATGCATCGCCAATAGCCCTGTTCATTGTCTTTAAACTGTTGTGAAACTGTAAGTTTAGGCAACTGATAGATATGGACATTACGTCCTGGCTGCTGAGGATTTGACTGATTTCCTCCCCTCCCTGCTGTGGGAGTCTGCCTCCTAGTCTGCCTCCTTTTGCAGTTCATCTCAAGTTCTTTTACTCCAAATAAATTTGTACTGTTTTGATTTTTCCTTTGCATTGGATGGTTGATCTGCTTGGTTCCTTCATATCATATGAGTATTATAAAATCTTAAACATGAGTTCATTTTTATATGTGTATGAGAGTCATGATTTTACCTTTTTCTGAAAATTAATTTTTCTAAATTATCTTTAATCCATGCATCAGTAGATTTGGAGCACAATCTAAAGCCATGATATATCACTTAACTTTTACATTTCCTAATTCATTTAATAATTCAATAAATATAATACTTGTTCATCATCCACCTTTGATTTTGCCAGCACAGTATTCTAATCAACAAAACTATATTAATATAAATAAGAATAAAGTATCTCTAAGACCAATTTTAAGACTTTTACATACTCTGAGTTGTAATAAATCTTTACAAATACATCATTTTATTAGCAATTATCATAATTTGTGCTTATATATTTAGGTGATTATTTAATTAATTTCTATCTCCATCACTAGACAGCAATCCCTTTCTCTCTCCTTCTCCCCCTTTCCTTTACTTTTCTGAGAGCCTGGTCTTAGAATAATGAAGAATGGAAAACAAAAAGTAGTCTAGTTACCCAAAAGATTCTTATAAAACACTATGGCAAATCTTGCTTAAAACAGAGACACACACTTAAAACTTACAAACACACATACACACAGTTTGTATAATCTCTTCTAAGTGCATTCTGCTTTGTCTCTTAGGGAGGAATTTAGGGAGTGAGGGATGGAATCTGACCAATACCTGATATCCAGATAGGAGATTCCACCACGTAGTGCCCACTCCATGGCTCGTGGGCTGTCATCAATCCACATCGCCCATATGGCAACTGTTCATAGTAACTAGCCACCAAATTCCAAGCAATTGTCCTAAAAGATTTGTTTGATAAAAGAGAAATGCCAAAACAGCTTGTGATAAAAATGGAAGCCCATAGCAAAAGGACCTTATCAGAGTTTATATAAATATATGTAAATGACAAAAAAATGAAACAAGAAAATATAAGTTGCCTAAGTTCATTCACATTTTGAAAAATCCAGTGTTGGATGCATCTAAATACTTTTAATGATGAATCACATAATAAAAAGTACAAATGTACATGAGGCATACAATTTTTACTAAACAATGGTGTAGCCAGAGATGACTCATGCCCTATCAGTACCAGACGTGTCACAAATTTGAGTCAAATATAAATAAAGGCTTTACCTATACTTGCTTTCCTTTTGACAGTCAGCCTTCTTAATGCCCCAGTTTCGTGACCTAATTTTATGAACTTGTCTGAGCTGTTGCAAAGTTTTACAACCGAGAACCTTCGAGTCAGACTGCCTGGGTTCAAATCACGGTTCTACCATTTACCCTCTCTGGACCTCAGTTTCCTCATCTGTAAAGTGAGGATAATAACTGTACCCAGCTCACGTGATTGTTGTGAGGATTAAACGTACTGATGCATATGAAGAGCACAGAACACGGTCTGGGCTGTAGTACTGCTATGATTCTGCTTCATCTACAAGTATTAATCAGATCAGCTTGCTGGGCTGTATTTTGGTCCATTCTTTCAGATGGACACAACTGGCACTGAACTCTAAGATTGTGACTCTGTGGTTCTCAGGAAAATCCAAGGGCAAATGGGAGGCTCTGGACCCTGGTACTGCTGGGTTCCTCACAGCTAAAAAACAAAATACCCAGAGCTTACCCATAGAATTTAATTTTTCTTATCGAGTCCTCACCCATCATAAAATAACAGACTGACATTCTTCAAAAATTAAAGCCTTCTAAATTCCGTCAAAACAAAGTAGAAATAATAGTCCCAATTTTCAAAAATCCTCACTACCAGCAAAAATGTTAAGAGTTCTCATGATTTTCCCCATGGACTGCAAGATGCATGGTATCTCCTCTGGCTAGTGATAGAAGTACAAATTAAAACAAACTATCTGGAGAACATTTTGTAAAATATACAAAAACCTTTAAAATCTATATGCCTCTGACACAGACATTCATTCCATTTCTAAGAATATATCCTAAGGAAAGAATCATACATGTGTACAAAGATATTTCAGTGTGTACAGAGCTGTTAACTAAAATGGAAACAACTTCCATTTCTAGGAAGAGGAGCATAGTCAATGAGGTATAATATATTTTCCCATCAGTGTTTCCCAAATGTGTGGCGTCACTGGGGCACTGGATAGACCGACAGGGTCCCAGGAGCCTGCCCTGGAGACACCGATTCAGTGCATCTGGGCAGCTGCCAAGGGAATCAATAACACAAGTATCTCAGGTGCTTCCTAAGACAAGGCAAATTTGGGAAATTCTGCTTTCTGTAACAGAATATACATAAGCATTAAAAATGATGAAGTAGAAATATACCTAAATATGAGAAAAAGTTCATAATGCCTTATTAAGTGAAAAGCAGCTTATGTGCTAAATATTATATAGTACAGTCTCAGTTTTGTATTACAATTTTATACATATAAATATAAATGGAAGGACATACACCAAAATTATTAAGGATGGTTACTTCTGGATGGAAAGATTAGAGGTGATATTGTTTCCTTCTTTGTACTTATATACAGTTACTAAATTCTCTGCCATTAGCATGCATTACTCTTAATACTAAATTAAGTTATTAGGACCAAACTCTCCATGATAAGCATCTTTTCTTTCAGAAAGAGAAGAAAAAGAACAAAGGATGTAAGAAGAATGTATCAGCCCTGGTTAACATCACAAAAGTATGTACTGGCTTGCTTTCGCTCCATTTATCATTGTTTTAGAAGCTACTTTGAAGCTAATTACAATTAAACCTTCTCAAAGCATTTAAGAAATGCTTCCCTGAGAAATTAAAAAGAGTCCATGTTCTCCCTTAAGAACCTCTGTTCTGTAACAGTTAAACAAATTGATACGGTGAGGAAACAATCAGGCAGATTGGGAAGTGGATAGTCCACAAGACAACTTGCCTGGCCTTTTCAAAAGGTCACTGTCATAAAAAATGAGGAGGGAAGGAAAATATTCTAGATTAAAAGAGATTTGTAGGGTATGACATCTAAATGCAATGCATAGTGCTTGACTGGCTCTTAGCCTTAAAGAAAAAGCTATAAATGACATTATTGGAGACAATTAGGAAAATTTTAATATAGACTGAGTATTAGAAATATTTTTTATTTTTTTTAAGTTTTATTTATTTTATTTTTTTCCCCCAAAGCCCCAGTAGATAGTTGTATGTCATAGCTGCACATCCTTCTAGTTGCTGTATGGGGGGCGAGCCTCAGCATGGCTGGACAAGCGGTGCATCGGTGCGTGCCCAGGATCCGAACCCGGGCCACCAGCAGCGGAGCGCACACACTTAACCGCTAAGCCACGGGGCCAGCCCTAGAAATATTTTTTTAAATGCTCTTATGTATCAAAATGATATTGTGATCATGTAGGAGAATATTCTTATGTTTTGGAGCCACATGCTAAAATACTTAGGAGTGAAATGTCATGACATCTGTAATTTACCTTATACTTGTTCTATAGAGAGCTTGCCAAAAATCATAGAACAGCATGAATTTTACTGTATATAAATTATATCTCAATAAGCCTGACTTCATTCAATACAGAATATACTCAAATATAGAAAAATAGATATAGCTTAGGTGTGGATATAGGTATAGATGAAGCTAATAAGGCAAAACATTTACAATCATTGAATCTAGGTTGTGAGAATATGTAAGTCCATTCTACTTTTTTCTACTTATTGTTTTCGAAATTTTTCAAAATAAAAACCTTTAAAAGTTTTTAATAGCTTACGAAGTCATGTAGCCATTGATATAATTCTGATTCAATATGCGACCCCAGCAGCCTGCACCCACATCATTATTTAAGGTGCTAAAATCTTCAGAAGACCAAAGCTTCTTCTCAGTCAACCTCGCATCCTTTACCGTATAGGTCCCAGGATAATGAGCTCTAGAAAAGAAACAGTGGGAAGAAATGGGAAAAAGTCAGAACATGGCACTTTATCTATTTGATGAGTGAATACAAATACATGTCTTCTTCAACATTTTCTACTTTAAAACAACGGACAGCTTCCAGGTAGACGTCAGACTGATCATAAGCCTCTGCTTCCCATCCTAGTGTCTCAGGATGCCCTTAAAATGAGACAAACCTATAACAACACACAGAATGGGACAGATCATCAATGGATGAGAAATTTCTGTTTCTGGAAACCATAAAATGAATGGAAGCATGTTGACAGATGGAGGCAGCAGAGGAGGCCACAGCCTAGAATCCTCCAAGAGATTAATGAGTTGGAGGCAGGATTCAGACTTCCCAGGGGAAGCAGAGAGCTTGGGACAGTAGGAAAGAAGGAGTAAGAAGGAAGCCAAAACTAAGACTAATGAATCTATTATATAAAGTAGTACTTCCTCCCTTACTCCCAACCCTAGTAGACAGAGGGAAAGAAAGCTTGGCATTTACCCTAATGCAAAAACAAAAGCAACAAAAACCCAAAGAGAGTTCTTTCTTGAATAAAAAAAATAAACTACCTTGGGAAAACTACAAGTTATTATCCCAGAGCAGTGGTGGTTCTTAATCTGGGTGAGCTTGCCTGGCAGAGAAGGCAGGGCAGGGCAGGATTTGCTGCTGGCATCTAGTGAGTAGAGGCCAGAGATGCTGCTAAACATCCGACAATGCACAGAGCAGGTCCCCACAACAAAGAGTTATCCAGTGAAAATATCAAAAGTACAGAGGTTGAGAACGCTGCCCCAGAGTAATGAACCCCCCCCTTAATCTAGCATTTGAGAGGAGTCAGTCAGTTGAAGTATAAATGTATATTTATTATTCTAAGAGTAAAATACTGCCATAATGATGACTGTGGAAGCTATTGATTATTGAATAAAAACAATTAAGAAATTTCCAATGTAAAACAGAAAACAGACTGACAGTTAATACAATAATAAGAGAGCACATTAGCTAAATAACTTTAGGGACATGAGTGTATACTTTTTAGGCCAACAATTATTTACAAAAAAATTAATAATAATATAAGCAGAATAATGGAGACTGGAATATATCTTAATTCTAATCTTTTTAGTTTGGTGTAGCAGTATTCATTACATTAAAAGAATGATTGTGAAGACCTGTTTTAGTTTTTAATTATTTAATTCCATTTAGGTCATGAATCTTTTAAGAAAAAGTCCTACTTGGGAATTCATTATACCTAGCAAAGAGGAATTAGGGTACAATATCAATTTGGCATTCCAGGATTTCATGAGGAAGAAAAGAATATATAATAGAGAATATAAAAAGAAGTATTAGAGGAAAATGAGGTTCTGCCAAGATTTTGTTGAGTCACTGAACTCAGGTGAAAACAGGCATCTATTCAGTATTGTACATATACACTACAGAGACCCCAAGAGCAAGCCAGCACCTAACAGGGTTAAGAAATTATTGTTCCAGCACTAGAATGCCCAATGTGAAAAATCTGACTACTAATCTTAGTAATAATATAATTTTAATAAGTGTTTACATTTAGATTTATTCTTATATCCCAGAACTTCATTCTATGATCATGATATTCAGCTTTGATGCCTCAGCCAAATACTAATTTTAAGACTCATCTGGTTGTCACTCAGCCAAATGTATGTTTGGTGGCTCTCTGGTTAAAATATACTTGTGTGAAAAATAAAAGCCTGGAAAGTAATATGCTATTATGTTACCAATGATCTCTAGATGTTAGGATTATGAGTAAGTTCTAACTCTATCTTTACAGTTTTCTACATTTTCCAAATTTTCTATAATGAGCATGCATTATTTTTGTCATCTGAAAAAGTATCCCTTTTAAAGTTATAGAAATAGGTGTCACATCCCTCATTCGGAAAACAATGGAACTGTTACACTACATTTAAAACCTGAGTGATTTATTAAATGATCTGAGCAAACAAGGGCAGAACTGACACTAAAATCTAGGTCTCTCCCAGTGATCCATTGCTAGTTCAACAAAACGTAAAGGTTCTTTAAGAATATAATTTTTAAATGTATATAATTAGGCAAAACATCTCTATCATTTCATAGCATGATTTTTCAAACTTCAATGACAAAGTTATGATCATGGAAAGTAAACCAAAGTTTTTCCTAACAGAGGAACATGTTTGTATTAAAAGAAAATTAGAACTTATGGACAAGGTCTATCACGGTAGCACCCCAGTTTCTGAAACTCCCCAGTACTCCTCCTAAAACCAAACAGATCAACCAGACAAAAGGAAAGGACAAACCCATTGACAACATCCTCATCAAAACTAGGGCACAGGAGCCCTGCAGGATCAGGACTGGCCCAGGATCAGCAGACGGAATATGGAAACTGTGAAAATGCAAGGGCACTAACAGGTACTCACCCCCAAAGGAGCGGACCCTACCCTAAGTGGAAGCATGAAGAACAACTGGTGAAACTGGGAATGTCTTCATAGGCTTGAAGTTGGGGGTGGATGCCAAAACAGTGAATTCACTTAGAGATCAAACACAACGCTGTGACAGTTTAAACCAGATTTGCCCAATAAAAATATAATGTGAGCCATATATGCAATTTTAAATTTTCTAGTAGCTACATTTAAAAAAGCAAAAGGGAATTTTAAAGATATACTTTGTTTCACCCAATATATCCAAAATATCATCATTCAACATGTAAAAAATAAATTACATTTTACATTCTTTTCTATACTAAATCTTTAAAATCCAGTGTGTATTTTACACTTACAACACACCTAAATTCACATTAGCCACATTTCAAGTGCTCGATAGCCACATGTGGCTAGTGGCTCCACACTGGGCAACACAGGTTTAAACCGTTAATACTTTCTGGATTGGTAGACCCTCACCATGAGAATAAGCAGCTTGAATTAGAATCCAAATGGAATAAGGCAGGAACACTTAGGGTGAGGGAGAGACAACATTTAGACAGTAGGGAGAATGGGGATCAGATCTGAGCAGACCCCAGAAAGTACTGTAACTGCAAGACAGAAATCTGCAAACATAGCGCAGGCCAAGTACTGCATGAATGGAGCAGGGAGGTACACTCTTCTTAAAGGAGGTGGGAGCCTCGGACTAAATATCTCCTGAACAAAATTCCACTATACTACAATGTCCAAAAACTGGAAACAATCTAAATGACCACTAACCAAGAATAGATGGGTAAATTGTTGTATATTCCTACAATTGAATGTGAAACAGTAACTAAAATGAACTACATCTACACCTGGCAACATGAGTTAATCTTAAATATATAATGTTGACCAAAATAAAAGATACTCTAAAATGCCATTTAAATAAAGTTTTTAACAGGTGAAATTAGTCTGTGGTGTTAGAGGTTGTCTCTGGGGCAAAAGGAGAGGCTAATGATTAGAAAGACTTCCAAGGGGAGAGCTTCTGGGTTATTGATAATTTTTTACTTCTTGACCTGGGTGGTATGTCACTGATAGTCACATAGGTATGTCCACTTTGTAATAATTCATTAAACTATATTCTTAGGATTTGTGCAATTTTATGTATGTACGTATGTGTGTCTGTATGTTATACATCAATTAAAAAAATTTTTAAGGAAATGAAATTACTAGACAACAGAAGCATATGAAACTAAAATGAGAGAACTACAGAATAATTATAAAAAAAGAAAAAACATTTTAGAAATGAAGACTAAAGTAAAAGGAACACAAGATAGAATAGACACTGTGGAAAACACAAGGGAAATAGAGAATAGTAAGGATAAAATTACAGAAAAGCAAACAGAAATAAAGAGAGAAAAAAGATTTGAGAGGGGGCCGGTGGGTGGCCTAGTGATTGGGTTTGCACACTCCACTTCGGCCCAAGGTTTGCTGGTTCAGATCCCGGGCGCGGACCTATGCACTGCTTTTCAAAGTCATGCTGTGGCAGTGTCCCACATAAAGTAGAGGAAGATGGGCACGGATGTTAGCTCAGGGCTAATCTTCCTCCAAAAAAAAAGATTTGAGAGAAATATAAAATAAAGGCAATACGCAAAGGAGGTCCAAAATGTGTAACTGGGGCTTGCAAAAAGATAGTCAAAGTAATGGAGCAAAGTAATTATTTAAATTAAAATTTAAGTAAACCTTACTGAAATAAGAAAATACTTAAAATATAGATATTGAAAGGGCATATACTATGTACCTGGAAATGGTAAATAGTGTAAAACTACTAGACCTTAAAGTTAATGAAAAATATTTTCTGGACATACAGGAATTGTGCTGAGTCATTTACAAGGAAAAGAAAATAAGTCTGAACGAAGGCAGAACCACAAGACTGAAGGAGCATCTTGTAGAACAGAGCTGCTCTATCCTCCTGTATATTGTTTTGGACATTTACTTGAGAAATAAGCATCTCTCTTGCTTAAATCACATTCTGTTTTGGTCTGTTAAAACAATTTAAATGATATCCTAGCACATGGAAGCCAGAGATGGAGTCTGACATAGTTCAGCGAATCAGGGGCCAGGTTATACTTTCAATTTTCACACCATGGAAATAGAGGTAATCCCTTATACCGGAATGTAAGATAAGTATATCTGTGTAAAGATATTTGCTATTCTTGGAGACAGTTTCATTGACTAATAGGAGGATTTTTGATTATCTCCATTCTGCAAAGATACGGAATTCCCAGGGACAAAACAGAATGTCTACATGAAAAATTAAGAAAAAGTTTTTAGAGGCCTTAGACTACAAAGAACTCAGTGGCTTAAAGAAAAAGAGTTTATTTCACTTCCATATAATCATCTGAAGGTAGAGAGTCAAGGTTGGTGGAGGCAGCTCAGTCCCAAGAAATCACTGAGGCAATTAGGTTCCCTCCTTTGTCATATTCTCCATGGTCAAAATGATTGCCTCAGATTCCAGCCAGTAGGAAACAAAAGGGGAAAAACAGAATGAACCCCAAGTCTTAGAGTGAAACCCACAGGTGTTACATATCACTTTTGCTCTCATTTCATTACCAGGAACTTAATCATATTGCTACATCTTTTTTTCTGAGAAAGATTGTACCTGAGCTAAGATCTGTGCCTAAGATCTTCCCCTATTTTGCATGTGGGATGCCGCCACAGCATGATGAGCAGTGTATAGCTACGTGCCCAAGATCCGAAACAGCAAACCCCGGGGCACCGAAGTGGAGTGCACGAACTTAACCACTATGCCACCACGCCAGCCTCAATATTGCTACATCTTAACTGCAAAGAATGCTGAGAGTCTTGCCTTGTGCCCAGGAAGAATAGGATGGGTTTTGGAAGACTACTAGCAGTTTCTTCTACACTAGGATAAATGAGAGGTGCAAGGGGAGGTGAAGGGGTGGGGAAGAATTCTGGCATCAGAATTCTCAACAGCAACATGCTACATAAGTAACCAATGGAGTACATTTTATGATACTCAAGGATTAAGAAAATGTGAGTCAAGGATTTTAAATCCAGCCAAACTGTCCTTCAAGTATAAAGGCCACAGATAAACAATAATAAAAATGTAAGAGATGAAGAAATATTGTTCCCATTAGCACTTCCTAAGAAATACAGTAAATATTAAGACTCTGACATCCAAGAAACTAACGGAGAAAACAACAAAAGACTTAAAGGTGAGCTTAATGGTGCTTAATGGTGTTTAATGGTACCATATGCTTAATGGTAGAACTAGACTAAAAGAAAGAGTAATTAAACAGTATATAAATATTACATGTTCTGATAATATATAAATAATATAGCTGACACAAAATAGGAGAAGGAGGAAATAAAGTGAAATGTAAACTACGTTTGCCAATTGGCAAGGAGCAAAAGGTTACAACTTGCAGCTGACAAATCAAGAGAGTAGAAGCTTAAGCTCATGTAGGAGTACAAAGATTAAGAAATTCTGGTAATTAAAATTCCAGTGAAGAAGAGAGAGAAGGAAAGGAAGAAGAGGTCATGAGATAACTTTATTATTGCTTACAGTAAACCAATAGATAATATCTAAATAGAGAGGGAACTAAGAGTGTTGTACGAAGTTTCTCAACTTTGGCACTGTTGACGTTTTGGCTGGATAATTCTTTGTTGTGGGGGAGTTATCCTGTACATTCGAGGTTGTTTAGAAGCATCCCCGCCTCCACCCATCAGATGCCAGTAGCACCTACGCCAGTGACAATCAAAAATATTTCCAGATATTACCAAATATATCCCGGGAGGCAAAATTATCCCCAGCTGAGAACCACTAGTATAAAGTACTAGTATAAAGGTAATCAATAGAACCAAAAGTCAAATCTTGCTAAATAACAAAAAAATACCTCCTTTAAAAAGAGCAAAGAAAACAAATCACATAGCAAAAGAGTTTGTATCAGTGTGTGTGTATGTATATAATAAATCATTAAATAACAAAAGATAATATAGTAGAATAGAAAACAAAGCCTTCAGCTATATCAATAAGTACAAATAAGTTTAACTCATTAAAATATGAAGATTTTTAGAGCGGCTAAAAAAGCAAAATCTAAATCTATGCTATATGCAAGCAACAAACCTAAAACAAAATGACCTTGAAAGGTAAAAAATAAAAGTATGGTCAAAGATATATCAGGCTAATGCAAATGAAAAGAAAGCAGAAGTCTCTATCTTAGTCACATGCAAAGCAAAATTCGACCCAACTAGTATGAGACAAAGAATAACATTTTCTAATGTTAATAGCTACAAACTATAATGAAGATAAAACATGTATTAATATCTATGTACCAAATAACACAGCAGCAACTTTCATACAGCAGAAACTGCATGAGATTGAAAGGAGAAATAGAAACCCACTAATAAGAGGAAACCAACTCTCTTGGTAATCCTGGATAGTTCAAAGAAACAAAATAATTAAGATACAAAATATCTAAACAATGTAATCAGTAAGGTAGATAATATACATCAACTCTTGTATCCTGATAGAGAATACATCCTAATATAATAAGACAAAAAGAAACTCTTGGGAAAGTTCTGAAAAAAAAATGAATAATACATTCAGCATTAAATGACCACAATGCAATAAAATTAGAAAATAATAATAACAAAACAGACTCTATGAGACAGAGCTAAAGCAATGCTCAGAGGAGAATTCATTGCATTTAATACTCATCAATACAGATAAAACGAATTAAACATCCATTTTCATGAAGATACAGTAAAACCCACACTTTCATTTAAATATTTTTTTCCTAGCCAAATATATTCAGGATCAACACAACTTGATTTTCCCTCAAGACTTGAGTTATTTATGAAAGTTTTAACAATAAAGGCAAAAATTATATTCTAATTTCAATGTATGAAATGTTTAAATGTATCTTACTTTCTTTGCCAAAAAAAAAAATTAAGTCTAAATCTAATTTAATCATGCCTCTACCAATTTCTAACAGGAAATAGAATGATGAGCATGTTAAACTAAACTGTAAGGATGAAATCAGTAAAATCAAAACTGTGAGAAACTTTACAGGACAAACAAGTTTCTATGACAAAAAAAGGAAAAAAGAGTGAGAACTAAAAAATTAGAAGAGACAAATATCAACCAATCACAATGTCTGAATCTAAACTGGATTCAATAAAATAAAACTATAAAATAATAAAAATGGATATTTGATAATATCAAGAAACTATTACATTTTTAGATGTAATAATGGTATTGTTTACGGTAAAAAGAAAAAGAGTTCTTATCTTTAGAGATACATGGTAAAATTTTTACGGAAGAAATAATATAATGTCTGGGATTTGCTTCAAAATAATGTGAGGAGGAAGGAGAGAGGAATGGATGGGCATGTGGATGGAGAATTGGCCATGGGTTCATAGTTATGGAGGCTGGGTGATGAGAACATGGATATTCATTACATTATTCTGCCTACTTTTGTGTACGTTCAAAATTTTTCATTAAAAAAAGCACACGTAGGGCCAGCCCCGTGGCTTAGCGGTTAAGTGCACACGGTCCACTACTGGCGGCCCGGGTTTGGATCCTGGACGCGCACTGATGCACCACTTGTCCAGCCATGCTGAGGCAGCGTCCCACATACAGCAACTAGAAGAATGTGCAACTATGACATACAACTATCTACTGGGGCGTTGGGGAGAAAAAGGGAAAAAAAGGAGGAGGATGGGCAATAGATGTTAGCTCAGAGCCGGTCTTCCTCAGCAAAAAGAGGAGGATTAGCAAGGATGTTAGCTCAGGGCTGATCTTCCTCACAAAAAGAAAAAAATAATAATAAAATAAAAAATAATTAAAAAAACATTTTATTTTCAGTCTGATGCAAAAC